TCTTTTTATTTTATATTTTTTGATTCATGTTAATTCATAAATATTTTATTGCAAGTTATGATTATGATACTTGTGTAAGTGATATGAATCTCTTGTTAATTATCTAGTTCTTAAATTAGTTAACAACATTATAAGACTTGTAGCATTTAAGTATTACTTGAAACTCGTAGACTGATGCAAAGTTGTGATGATTATTGAGTACAAAACATTTTAGTAATTAAAATAAAAATATTCTTCATTAAGAGAAATGAGTTTATTTATTGGTTCACTATTGGCTCAACGTCTGGTCTATTGCTGGTACAATCTGGTCAACCTAAGGCACATTGCGACTTTCCACATTGATTGTTAAATAAAAAGAAACCTAACAGCTATTAAGAAAATTGGAATAAGCTACATGATTCTATGATAGGCAAGGAGTAAGTAATTCTTTTTTTGCAATTATTGTCGTAGTAATTGAGTCACAATATCAAAATTACTTTCAAAATGTCGCTTAATCGGTTTGTTACTGGTACACCCACCCTAGGATACTCTCTGTTGGGATGGTTTTTGGTTGGAGTGGTTTCTGTAATTAGTCGACCTCGACACCTCAGCATACAACCTTTTGACAGAGGGGAAAACTTGGCTTGCTTCCGCATAGGAAATACTTTTCTACCATAAAAGCTTTTATGCTTTTTTTGCGGCCCAACTGTGGACAAGCATTGTCTTTAGCAAAGTGACTGCCATTGCAGTTAATGCAATGTGCAAACTCTAATGAGATTTGATATCCATCGCCAGGATGGTCCTGGCCACACTTAAAACAATGTGATTTTGAACGACACAAAGTGCGGGTGTGACCAAAACGACAACAGTTGAAACATTGTATAGTCGGGTATGAATACAATTCTACTGGGAGGACTGAGAAGAAACAAAAAACTTTCTTAGGTAAAATTTGGCCATTAAACATCAGGACTACAGTCTGGGTAGGTTTCCATTCTGTTCCCATTTGGTGAGGACACTTTTCGGTTCATCTTCCTTGCCTTTATAACAACACCACATCCCGCAGGGAACCTGATGTTGCTAATGATCTCTTCCTCTGACCACTTAATGGGAACATCCCTTACTATACCCATTCTGGTGATATTAAATTGAGGGATCGAGGTTGTATAATTCTGTGCAACCACACAGTTCACAAGAAAACTGTTGGCATCCTGGTGAGACTCAAACTCAACCGAGATCCTGTTCCTGCCTATTCTTTTTACACCACCAATTTTGACATTATTAATGTTGTTCAGCATTAAAAACATCCCAAATTTTACCGGGTGAAGAGTAGTGCCAGTCGTCTGGGAGTCCTTAAGGAAAACAAACACAATGTAGGGGGGTTGTCCCTAGCGGTGTAGCATTGTCTACCGTTGACGCTTTTCGCTAGTTTCGGCGGATTATAACGGGCGACAGGTTAAAACTACCAATACCTCATTAAAAACGACATACAAACACAATAAAAACGACACAAAATGTTCCAATTTAGATCACTACGAATAAGATCACAATCGACAACAATCGTGAGTACCAATAAAAGCACGTGTGTACCATTCACCACTACCCACGAAAATCTAACAATATATTATTATAGCGTACACAGAACACGGAACAACGATGAACAGTGAACCTCCGGCTCCACAAATCACCACATTCAAGTTGCAAACATAGATTATAAAACCAAAGGCCGAAAGGCAGGTGTGAAGCCTAAACGTAGTGGTCACATACTCTTTGGTGAAGCCGGCTTGGCAGGCATATTGTGTTGTGTACCATGACAACTGTAAAAAACACGTTTTTTTTTTGGAGTTTTTGGCCTGGATACAAGTTTTTTAAGCCAAACACGTTTTCTCGGTGTGCGTTATGGTTGCCAAATGAAAATAAAATTACCCAGAATATGTCATTGTCTACCCATCAATAATATAAATAAAAAACAATTATATTGTTTTTAATGGTTTGTACGAAAGAATTGTTTCCAAATAAAAATATTCGTATTGCTAAAAAAATTGAAATAATTTTATTTTTGTGAATAATGTTTATTATTTAAATTTTTAGAGAAATGAAGTTAAAATATAGCTAATTAGTTATTTTGCACTAATTTCGTATAATATTCCAACAACCAATGCCCTTTTTGTTTTATAACCTGTAAGGCTGAATGTCAAAATGTGATTTAGAAGAAATAACGTCATCGCTTGTTGCGATGACGTTATTTCTTCATACTCATCTATGTTTGTTTTTTTTTATGTAATAGATCGGCAAACGAGCAGGCGGATTACCTGATGGTAAGCAATCAGCGCCGACCATGGACACCCGCAACGGAGGAATTACGAGTGCGTTACCGACCTCTTAGGGATTAGGGTTTTGGAGATTATGGGATTGGGGAGGGATCGGCGGAAGGGAAGGGTTGTGATATTTGTTTCTACATTTTCAGCGTTTAATAGGCAGTTCATTTAAAAAAAAAACAATTAAAAGTGATGCGCGAAGCATCTTTCTTAACGTCAAGGCCTTTTTTGAAGAGAAGAAGCTCGGGTGCATGCTCCTTTTATTCCGTTTATTCAAGTAAATAAACTAATTTCTGCGGCTACATCGTGTTGTAGTCCGTTCAGTTTTTGTAAATTACCCGATATTTATGGTTGGTTACTTTTTAACGTGAGCTTGGCTTTGGCACTCCACTTTTGTTCCCGCTCTTGCTAAGCCTGTTGCCACGCGGTTTGTATGCAAGCCGCTTAGAAATACTAGTAAATAATACTAGTAATACTATAACTGCTGAGACTAGATGAATTTCCATCTTTTTTATATAATGTTTATTTGCAATTAAATGCCAATATATCTATCTCCAATAGTTTTCTTATTTTTGAGGACTTATTAGAACTTATATTAGAATTTTGTTATCATGAAACAACGTTAAGTATTGTATAAATAATAATGATTATATGTTTACCCAGCTTCTTATTTGTCATACCCAATCATGGGTAATTTTTATTAATTTGCAACACTAAAGTGATGGTGTCACCAACACTCAGTTCACAGAATCACAAAAGACCACAGACCACAGATTACCATAAACTAGTCACAGATTAAAGACATACAGGATATGGTGCAAAGTGATTCACTTTAAAGGCTTCGATTTACTATAACAATTTTAACCATTTAAAAAGTAGATTCCGGCGATACATTTGTTTTAATAAAATTTCTACATTATTTTTAAAGGTTGTATAAAAAATCTTTTACTCGTCCTGGCCCTGGCCCTTTTTACCCGACACCGGCAAAGCAAAAGGAGGGTTATGATTTTGACAGGCTATGTATGTATGTATGTATGTATGTATGTATGTATGTATGTATGTATGTTCATCTGTTCTCTCGTAACTTCTAAACTAATAATCAGAATTCAACAAATGACATATCATTAGAAACACCATAATTATGCGCTGGTTATAGGCTATATGGGGTATCACAAAATCTAATTTAGCGTACTCTAGCCGACATAACAAACAAAGTAAAAAAATAAAGTTCAGATAAATATACCGTGTTTGGTATCATTTTAAAGCGCTTTACTTGTACATTTTGAATATATGTGTATATTACTAGCATTTGTTTGTGACTTTACAGGGTTGATTGCAAAATTCACATCTTTTTTTATTCACAGCTTCTACTACTTATCATTGGTTCATCAATTGCAACATTTTGTTACTTTAACCCATGTTTATAATAATCGCCATTATAACGAGCATGTCACGTAATCTGGATTGTAAATGATAAAAAAAATGGTTTTAAAACAATTGCTTTTTTATTCACCAAAATACTACTAAATAAACATATAAAACTAAAATATCAGATCATTAACATAATGGATATTTTGGACGGAATTGTATAATACCGTATAATTAATTAAAAAATAATTATTGCAAATTTTACGTAAAAATTAAATAATATAAATACATAATTTCAATTTCTGAAGTTCTCTTTTAAGTTTAAAATGTGAATTAATTTATCTATTAAAGAAAAACGACTGTCCCTACGCACGCAGAATACAGATAAAATATTAACATTTATCTCAACAATTCAAAAGTAACAATAATAGTAAATTTGATTTTATCTTCATTCTGACAACTAAAAGGTTACCTAGTTAATAAGTAGTTCTACATTGATACTAAAGATAAGACCAGAAATTGGACGGCCGGAGTAATATGAGAGTACGACTATATTGATTCATCAATCATAATTATAGTCCAACTGTAACTCAACACTACCAGATACTTTATACAGATAAATATTATTTTACGCACATAACATTAATCTATTTTATTTGCGGAGTTTCTTGACAATTCCAAATAGGCAGACGAAATTGAATTACGTAAGGGGTAAACTACTAAACACTTACATCAAATTCGAAAAAGGTGAATTAATGCCGGTCGTAAGGCACGAATTTGGATTCAAAAGGTAAGGCACGATTCTCACAATCGATTTTAAAAAGCAGTATTGTGACAAAACAACAGGTTTATAAGTGTGATGTCCGCAAAAAGCCTGGTGGGTTTTCATGTATATTTACACATATCTAAGTATTTTACTTACAAACGAAATTAAATTCTAATTTATAAATGTTAAAATATGAAATTGCATGTCAATATACAACAAAGCTGTATAATAATGTAACAAATTAAAAAAAACTTAAATTACAACACTTTGTGCTGGTTTATGTACACATATGCGCTTTATACACAATAAAATATTCAATTAAGAACTTTGTTCAAACTAAATATACAGATGATTTCAATGCTTAATAAAATTGTATATAAAAATACTTTAAATGTAAAACAAAAAATATGTAGCTATATCAGCTTATGATATGTGGAATCATACTGTGCATCGACTTATAAATATCTAACTTAGTAATATTTGAATGCACACTTACAAAAGTCAGATTACATGTAAAAATATAACATTTAGAATTTTGTATATTTAGAAAAATTATTGTATGTCAATTGCATTACATTGCAATAGCTATGTAAACATTTGATTAATTTATTAATTTTTAATAAATTCATATTTTTACAAGTAACCACAAATAATCCTATTAAAACGGTAAAAAGGTATCTATTTGTAAAAAGGTACATACATACATATTTATAAAATTCCTAGTTGATTTATACACTTATGCGTTTTATACCAGTGCCTTCTTGGGTTAATCTATGCAATAATAAAGTGTTTAAATAAATATAAACCATGCTTCTTCAGACAAAATTATATTGTAAGTTGAGATAAATCTATACCAATATTATAAAGAGGTAAAATTTGTAAGTTCGTAAGTTTGTATGTAGGGTGTAATCTTTGGAACCGCTGCTCGAATTTCCTAAAATTCTTTCATTGTTAGATAGCTACAATGTTCCTGAGTGCTATAGGATATAAAACATCACGCTACGATTAAATGGAGCCGAGCAGCGGGTGAAACCGCACGAGAGTAGCTAGTATTTTAGATATTCGAGTGTTGAGGTTGACGGTTCACAGAAATCATGACAAGGCTTTAGGTGCACTAGCAGTTATGTTTGTACATGGAATGTTATCAAAATTTTGTATGAAGAAGCAAGATGTAGTATGACACAATTCACATGAGTAGGCCGCAGTTTTGTGGTTGGTAAAACATTTCTGTTGTCATCAGTTTCAGTCAGTAATATGTCTTATCTTCTACACGTTTTATTTAAGTGTGAAAACTTTGATATTTTACGTTCGTAATTAAAGTCACAATTGTTAGAGAACAGATTTTTTAGCTACGCTGACCACAGCTCAGTTTCAAGCATTCAATCAGTAACTAGAAAAATATAGTTATTTAGTCATCGCTTACATAGTTTTAAGTCGAGCTACAGTTTTATATAGAAATTGTTTGTAAAGGGAAACTTGTTTACACCTCAGTACTGTGTGTTTGGATGCGCACTTTTTTCTGACTGCCATTACGGTTTAATGGTGGCGAGTGGCCTGAATAGCCCGGGTTTTGTATGCCCAGGCCACCGGGTTCCCCTTCTCTTGGCCGCGGTTTCTTGAGAGACGACCGTAGCGGGGATCTCGTTATTGTACTGGCATCCGACATGCCAGTCAGCGTTGTGGCCGTAGTATTCATTGACGCCACGCTTCCGTGACCATTTGTGCTGTACGGCTTCCCTGACGCGTCAGTCATTGAGATTCCTGTAAATGATATTTGTGAGAAATAAAAAAATAAAATAAACAACTGGCCGCCGTGCAACGTGTCGCGGATTCGATTCCCGCAAGGAACAACTCTTTGTGTGATCCACAAATTGTTGTTTCGGATCTGGGTGTGATGTGCATGTGGAATTGATGTTTGTAAACCACGACACAGGAGAAAATCCTAGTGTGGGGTAATGTTTAAAAAAAAACACATACACATCACACGGAACAACATCACATTCGAAACAACAATTTGTGGATCACACAGAGTTGTTCCGTGCGGGAATCGAACCCGCGACAGTTGCCCAGCCACCGCGCCAACCGTGCAGTTTAATTTATAAAGTAACATGAAAGCACAGCTAAAATGTTTCGTGGTCACCTAAAGGTTAAGGCTGTATGCTATCGATGTGAGTTTTTTCCGAGTTATATTACTTATTATATTTTTTCTAACTATAGTCACCACCGGACAACTGACATGAGGTACAGAAAAACGTCAGGAGGCAATATGGACTCCCCATTTCAAGCCAGCGTGGCGATCAATGAGGTAATGCTGAGCAGTGGGCGCTTACAGACTGATGATTAAATTATTTTAACAGTTACCTCTTCCTTCTTTGAATCCAGGGTTGTTGATGGTGGTGCCCTCAGGTTCCCCTAACGGATTTGTAGGATCACCGCCAGCCCGTCGCGAGAACAGCGCGTCGTATAGTGACATTATAAACAGTATAGAGTTTATCACTATACTCACTATCTGCAAATCAAAAATGATTTTTTTAACATAAATTGTAAACTGTTGTAACATAAATAATAACCCTTTTTTTAAATACGTGTCTGCCTCTCAAGTATAAAAAATGCCACTTTGACTTTTTCTTTTACTATATTATCTTTATTACTGTGTTTAGCGAAACCGCCTGTCTTTTTATAACGAGTTTCCTAAATACGAAAATCTCCAAATCCCTAATCCCTTAAAGGTCACGCACTCATAACTTCTCCGTTGTTACGTTTGTCCATGGGCGGCGCTGATTGCATACCTTCAGGTAATCCGTCTGGTCGTTTGCAGTGCCATCGTATAAAAAAGAGTATTTGAAAACATATCAAAATTTTAAACAAAGTTTACTTTCCAATTCACTAGTGCCTGGCGAATATATTATATTATATGTTGTTAGCCGTAATCGCCTGGCATAACTTTTTTATGATTTACAGTAAAAAACCAAATAATATCAAGTTTTGAAGTTTGTAGGAAAGCTTTTGTGCTTATTTTTATTGCTTAAGTTTCCAATTATATTAAAAATCTAAGTGTGGGAGAGCCATGCTTCGGCACGAATGGGTCGGCTCGACCGGAGTGCTACTACGGCCTCAAAGAAAACCGACCTGTTACATAAAAAAAATGCCCAGGTAAGAGGAGAGCGAGTGTCTTCTGCTTTAGGTCGTAGCCGCAGTGCCTCATTGCGCTTGCTCCGCAACTCGGCTGAACATGAACCCTGTAGTGCGAGAGCCAATAGACCACTTCAGACGGGGCTGTGATGGTCTATTCGCTCTTTGAGGCGCGCGCGGAACGTTACGCGCCGTACGTTGAGGTCTGGTTCTGGTCGGGCGGCGAGCTGCCCTTACTCGCCGTCCGCAGAGTGGCCGGAGATCATCTCTCATTTATTAATTACCTGCACATAGAAAGCTTCACCCCTTGTCACGAAGAAGCCTCTGTCATCGCCTTGTACGGCGAACAAACCTGCTGCCACAATAGACAGCAGCGCTGGAAACAACATACTTTGTTATCAATGCCTACACTTGAATCACAACTTCCTCCTTTCGCTGAGGGGAGAGGGGTTGGGGGGTTATCATCAAATCACTTCTCTCGCCCTGGGAGGAGCAAGAGGAAGTATCAAGACTGTTACTTACAAAAATTCACGGGCGGGGTATATTATTGCGCTTGCAAACGATTCCTCTATCCAACCAGTCATGCTAAATGAAAGAAATTTTAAATGTACACTATAATATTATAAAGAGGTAAAATTTGTAAGTTTGTGTGTAGGGGGTAAACTTTGGAACTGCTGGTCGGATTGCCAAAATTCTTTCACTGATAGATAGCTACTATGTTCTTGAGTGTTATAGGCTATAAAACATCACGCTACGATCAAATGGAGATGAGCAGCGGGTATAACCGGAGGAGAATAGCTAGTTATGTATAAAGAAAACTTTATGTAGCATATTACAATTATATTAGGGATGCTTGGAGACGAGCTAGTCCTGCTCCACAGGATACACGAAAACAAAAAATGTTCCAGTGAATTTTTGCTTCAAGAAAACTATTCATATGTTTGCACTCATGTCAGTTATATTGTCAAACTTGACTACTACTGTAACCTATTACAATTGGTTAGTCTAACAGAATGTGGGTACTTGTGCCAGCTGGGAGTTGTCATGCTCACTGAAGGGTCGCACTGGCGGTGGCACGGGCGCTGGATCGCTCAATTCCCTATAATATGGTTGAGTTGGGTGGTACGTGTCATGTTCGTGATCGGGTGCCGTCAATTGGGACTGGTCGGCTCCGGACTGTCTATTGTCCTTAAGGTTATTTTCTTTTTTGGTTTTTTTTTTGTTGAGTATATGTATTAGTGTTACATTGTTGTCACATATTCGAACCAACTTAATAATGTATGTGTAACTATGGAGTCCATAGTTACTCTTTTTAAATCTGTTTCACGAGCAAGAAACTCCATAGTATGGAGTTTCTAGACCGACAGACTGACACATTTGATCTTTAAGCTTTGTTTGACGTTCAAAAGTACCTCTAAGGGTCAAATTGAAATAAATGATTCTGATTTTTTTTGTATGAAGACTTTTATTATGACAATGTTTAGAGTGTGGTGTTAGTTCAATAGTCATATTGCATGCAAGGGCCTTTTTTTAAATAATTATCTTATAGGTATATAAAAAAATGAATCGCAAAATGTGTTGGTAAGCGCATAACTCAACAACGCCTGGACCAATTTTGCTTATTCTTTTTTTGTTGTGTTTGTTATTGTCAGGAGAAGGTTCTTATCAAAGCAAATATTTGAAAAGTAGTGGGGAAGATAAGGAAAAAGTGACACTTTGATAGCGAGATAGTTGGACCCGTGCGAAGTGGGGGCGGGCAGCTAGTAGGTATATAAAAATGGATCGCAAAATGTGTTGGTAAGCGCATAACTCAACAACGCCTGGACCAATTTTGCTTATTCTTTTTTTGTTGTGTTTGTTATTGTCAGGCGAAGGTTCTTATCAAAGAAAATATTAGAAAATTAGAGGGTAAGATAAGGAAAAAGTGACCCTAAATAGCGAGATAGTTGGACCCGTGCGAAGCGGGGGCGGGCCGTTAGTTTTCGAATATCTTTAGATGGACAATCTACTCATCTTCGGTTTTTAATATAATCCTACTTATCACGCATCTGTCTTACGACTCATCAAGGAACGAACCTAATGCCATGATCTAGAACTCTGAGTTCGACTATCGACATAACATACACACACCTGACCAACAGGGTTGAATACAACTCAAACTTTTCATAAGCCGGTAAAATATTTCTATATCTTCATACCTCCTTGCGCCCGCAAGGAATCCGTTGTAGGGTAGCAACCTAGACCTACTAAACTATCCTAGTAATAGTAAGACTAGCCTTCCATAGTTTAAGCACAAATGAGTCGATAGAAGACTGGTCTGAATTGAAAGACAGAGTTTTGATATACTTACTGGCTAAAAGCGCCAACGCCAATTTCAACATCACGAGATGAGTGTACTTGAAGGCGACGCGTTCCTTCGACGATATCATGGCGAGTTGCAGTACTGACAGTATGCAGAATACACCAAGAATGGACACGCCGACGGAAGCCACCACACCCGCTATATACACCGCCGCTGAAACGCAAACAACTCTACATTAATACCATCGTTTTATTTTAAATATTTAAGTCTCATTTTAGAAAGCATCATCCAAAAATTCAGACTCAAGAACCATCCCCTTTCTCATACGAAAATGCACTTCCATTAAATTCAGACTGTTATGATACTAAGAGCTGACTTTTCAATAGTCAGATAAATGTTATCTGAGGAATAAAATGTTTGCTGTCACTGTCTTATACAAACATTCTGACGCGACAGTATTATAATTTTTCCCTAGATAACTTTTCTACTAGGCAGGGACTGCTAAGGACGTCCCAAAGCTCATGTGGGATCGACTCGTCGATCGACAAAAATATTCTTACATACACGATTTCAAACTTATAATTAGAAATTATAAGTCCCAAAATATTCTTAACTATATTTTTTTGTAACTTCTTTGCTCTCAAGTAAGTGAAAAAAACTTAAATAATAAATTGAACTTTCAAATAACATATCGTATTGTATGCGGGTTAAATTACATGTATCTGCATTTATGTTGTGATTTAAAGAAGACCGGCCATTACAAAGACAAAAAAATGTTTAAAAATATAAATAAATATTACATATTTTACGACACCATATTATTATTTATATACATATATAGGCTTACTTGGCACTTTTTGCTGTGGTATAATAACAAGTATAATAACTAAATAACCAATTCCTAAAGAACCGACAACAGGAAACTTGATTTCGCCGAACGAATTTAACGAAACAAATTATCACATAGCAAGTTTCCACTCACGTCGGCACTAAGGGACGGGTCCAAACTAGACAAGTGAGTGACAGACTGAAATAAAGGCTATACCTGACTCACGCGACCAGCTTTCCTCTTACTCATTACATTTCACAAAACTGACGACTTACTAAACTTTGAACGTCACCGTTTTTGTTTATTTCAACTTAAAGTATAAAAATATAAAAAAAAAACAAAAATGATTTAAAAGAAAACTAAACATACTATGTACCTTGCACCAAAACACCAGGTGTTGATTTGTTTGTCAATTCAAATTCAAATTTGATGTTTATATTTTTGTGAAAAGGGTTTTTGGATTTTAAGAATTTAGGATTAGAGTGGCATGATAATCTGTCAGAAAGTTCTTAGCTGAGTCAAAAATTAACAAAGAATTTCTAATTTACTGCGGCAAGAAATATGAAAAAAATTACACATTCATTCATTATTTTCACAATAAGTACATTTTTCAAATTTATTTTTTTAACAAATCACCAAGAGATAATTTTTCGAAGTAATAAGTACTACGTACAACTAGTACTTATTACTTCCATGGGCATTTCACATAGAAATTTTAAAACTGTCAATTTTGTCAATACACAGAAGCGTTAAAATCGACTAGTAGTTAGTCAAATTTCAAATAAATAGTATTAATTAGTAACTTTGTTTTAAAAAGGGAACCGTTAATAACCGGTAATAGTTTAATTAATTGGTACCTAAGAAGAAAAAATAAGAGCAATGAATAATAATTTTTATTTATTGTGATTTACAATAATTTCTACTCCACCCGAAAACAAAACGAAAATTGTCCGCAGTTCACAGTCTAAGCTTTCATGTAATTAGTAAGATAATGTGTTGCCTATGTGTTTTGCATATTTGGGTCGAGCCTCAAGGTTACCTAAAGTGTCATGTTTTAGGTCACTTTTAAAAGCTAATGGAGTCCTCTGTATACGTTTTGTAATCCACAAATTAATATGTATTATGCATGTTGCGTAATATGTTTATTGTATTTGTTTAAATAACAAGGGAGTGTCCAAATAGAGTTGTTCTTTTTTTAAATTAAGTAAACAATGCAGTGTTTACTTGACTTTTAACTAGAATAAAAAGAGGCTTGATAACATATTCTCAGCTGGGGTTGCGAATCAAGAGCAATAATGTGCCACAGCCTGGGCCTGGAACAGGAGACGGAACGGGGTGGTCACCCCATCTTAGGGGAGAGAGAAGTAATTAAATGATTTCCCCTTCAAGAAAAAACTTGAATTTATGTTTGTACTTGTCTCCCTTGTCTTCAGTAGACAATTACAATATACATATACCCAATCAATGAGTCCAAAGTCCAGATGATAGCTATTTACTGTGTTTCAACGACTACCTTCATCAGACCAGCTCAGTTGTGCCATAATATTTTATGGTTATCAAATCTACATACGGGTATAATTGGCAATTTTAATGATAATAAAACAATTACAAGTCCATGTAATTCGCGTTCTAGACTAGACTACTGCGCAAACCTTCTCCTTACGAGGCGAATGCCTTTGCTCTGCAATGGACAAATACTTATAGGCTGATGATGATTATAATAAAAAGCAAGTAATTGTATATGTATATACAATCCTAGTTGCAAACAAAACTGCGTCAAAGGAAACTGTAAATGAATATTGCAAACAACGGACGACAACCGGACGTTAATATTAGTATCAACAAATGCTGAAATGCAGTGGAATCGGATTTGTCCCACGTTTGGTACGACTAGCGCTGATGTTGTATTATTGAAAAGTTGACCGGTCAAAATAAAGTGTTTATAAAGTCCAAAGGCGTTGAATCTTCACTTTCTTTGTCCCATGTAACCCGAGACAGAAACAAGAACGCCTAGTACGATCTTCAACTATTCATTCATGCATCTAATCATACAATAAGTTTACAATACCACCCAATTTGTCAAGAAACAAATGGCATTATGTTAAGTGAGCCTCATTTCAGAGTATTAACGCCTATCATCTATCACCTAATGCCAAATGATGAACTCGTTTCGTCATACATATTGAAGGGATGGAAGCTAAGAGTTTCATGTAAGACCTCGTATCAAGAGTGGATGCCCTAGGTTGTCGACATCATTTGCTGGAAGACGTCCACTGCCGATTGAAGATTTTCTTCCTCCTTAGTGGTCCACATCGGATGATAGCTCGCCATTTGCATCCATTGGTTTCTCGCGACTCTGACGATGTCATCGGTCCACCTAAGGCGGCCTCCACGCTTCATTTTCCAGTCCGTGGTCGCCACTCACTTTCTAGCCCCATTAGCAGTAAGTCTTTAGAGCAATGTGGCCTGTCCGTTTGCTGAATTCATGTCGGTAACGTTCTTTGGCGAATTTTCGCATTTCGGATTTTGTCAGGCAAAAAACCTCCGAGAACGTCTGTCAGAAAACCTGACCTGGACGTACTTCGACCAAATAGCCCACATATTAGTAATCAAAAGCATTTTGAATCTACAATCATACATAGGAGAATCGTGTCATTTGACAGAGGTTCAATGATAAACATATTCATTCGCGACGAACATCGTATACCTACATATATAAAATGCACATATATACAAGCTTTGCTATGTAAACGGATTGTATATATATAGGTATAGCGACTATATGAGCGCCATTTATCACTGTATCCGTAGTTTGTTGTATATGTACTTATCCATAGATATGTGTGATGACGTAAACCTATGGTACCCATCTTCTTACGTTCTTAAAGTCTGGCTGCTACATACATATGTATTATGTTAGTATGCAAATTAAACCTGACTGTCATTTACTTGAATGATTTTGTTAGCGTTAGATGTTGTCGTCTTTATTTTGGTCCTTACATACGAATGTTTGCATGCATCAAGGCGTGATATGACGAACACCAGCAACAGCCAAAATTTAAATTAAGTGTGGGAGAGCCATGCTTCGGCACGAATGGGTCGGCTCGACCGGAGTGATACCACGGCCTCACAGAAAACCGGTGTGAAACAACCACAGTGTTGTGTTTCGCCGTGTGAGTGAGGTTACCGGAGGTCCAATTCTTCCCCTTCCCAATCCCTCCCCAGTTCCTAAATCTCCAAATCCCTAATCCCTAAAAGGTCGGCAACGCACTCGTAACTCCTCCGTTACGGGTGTCCATGGGCGGCGCTGATTGCTTACCATCAGGTAATCCGTCTGCTAAAAAAACAGCAGAGGAGTTAAGAGTGCGTTGCCGGTATTTTGGGGATTAGGGTTGAGAGATTGGGAGGAGAAGGTTTGGACCTCCAGTTACCTCACTCACAGGAAACAAAGTGGTTGTTTCTGTAACGCCGTGCTATCACTCCAGTCGAGCCAACCAATTCGTGCCGAAGCATGAGTAGTGGTGAATCGCTGTTTCTGGCGCACGCGCCAGAACCAGCTACTCACCCGGAATCTAAAATCTGAGTGGCACCAAACCTAAAAAAAAAAAAAAAAAAAAAAAAAGTTTGGTATGCTATCCTAGGTTTTGGCATGCTCTGATCACGTTTCTGCAGTCCATTTTTGCGTAGGATGCGTGGTTCTGGAGTTATGCAAATCGGAATCAGCTTCTGAACCCTCATTAACGTTCCTTTGTTTGCTTATCGTTACATTACTTAAAGTCCCATTGTTCGCCTTTCGTTATCATTATCTATTGTGCTTCGAATTCTCTCATTACGGTTGCTTTGGTGTTCTTATCTAAATACTCATTGTTATCTTCATTTTGTCTGATTTTCTATATCATCAATAAAACACAGTCATTCATTTTTACCGAGCACCATGTTCGAGACAACAAAGGATTAAAATTTTAATGATAGATAGACCATCATTTGTTCCTTTTTATTAACAACTTGTCTCTGCATTGTTCTCACATAGGGGTACAGTAATGTATAAAAAATGTATTATTTATGAATTGTAAAACAAATATTTTTTTTAAAAGAGTAACGATGGAGTTTCTTGCTCGTTCTTCTCCATTCGAAACTACAATTTGGAACGAGCACCTAGCTTCACTGACGAACAGACTGACAGACTACTATTCTATTTTGACGTTTCAAAAGTACCTATTTATGGTTTATTTGGAATAAATGATTTTGATTTGATTTGATTTGATTTGATTTGATTTATTTCGAAATTTTATTACTTTTTTTACAAAATATGAGTGGAACATCTCATCCACAAAATTATCATTGTACAGCGTGTTTCCTGTAAATATGTTCGTAAAACTATGCA